GGGCGCATAAACACTTGTCAACAGATTTTGCATGCGGTTGGACCTGTATGGAAAGGGGGAGGTTACCGGGAGGAAGATGACCTTGCCGATGCTGTGTACGGAAGCCTCTACGAAGCAACGAAAACTAACTATCGATCAATCGCCATTCCTGCGATCAGCTCTGGCATCTATGGATATCCCCTCAAAGAGTGTACTGAAACGATTGTGGCGACGACAGTCGAATACCTGGAGGAGCATCCAGAGACAAGCCTTGAAGTGATCGAATTCGTCAACATCGACGACCAAACAGCAGACACCTTTGTTCGTGCGTTGGAATCAGCATTTGGCCAGGGCAGAGTGGAGAAGAGTGACTACACATTTGAACAGACAACCACCCTTCCTGCCCAAGCCCCTAGGTCAAAAAGACGACGCGCCCATGGCCGTAGTCAACCACCTGGTAGTCTCTCTACAACAACAGAAACGGTTACACCTCCTCCGCAGCCCAGAGATCCTGTAGCTGAAGTTGGCTTTCGCACGACAGAGGGAAAGGCAATCACTGCCACTCAAGCTAACATTGCAAGTCAAAATGTAAGTTACACGTATCTCTTTGTTAATAATTGTTTGTTTGAATCAAGCAACAAGTTAAGTGAGATTGCTTTTAATTTATCCTATGTCATTCCCGTTTCTCCAGGTCGACGTTTTGGTGAACACTACTTCTGGTGGCTTGAATCTAAACACAGGTGCAGTGTCTAAAGCCATTCTTGAGCTAGCCGGCAGCAACCTGCAAAAGCTTGTCAATAAAGCTAAACAATCATCGGGGATCACATCTCTGCCTGATGGTCAGATTCTAGTTACTGGTTCAGCAGATCTGCCGTGTAAGCAGGTGATCCACTGTGTCCTGTGCAGCTGGGACGGCGGGCAAGGGAACTCCGAAAAGGTTTTTGACTATCTTTTTTATCAGTCACATCAGGCAATGGAAGATCATTTTGTATCTACTACATAATTCTATGTGTTGCCTTGCTGATGACACAGGTCATTGTCGCTTTTCAGGTTCTTCGTAACATTGTGAAGCAATGCCTACAACAAGCTGAGAAGGGTAACTACAAATCCATTGCAATTCCTGCAATGGGTACCGGAGGACTTCGCTTCCCGCATGACGTGGTGGCAGAGGCCATGTTCAATGAGGCTGTAGAGCACTGTAGGGCGAATCCTTCGGGTTCTCTTCGTGAAATTCGCTTCATTGTGTGGGAGGGAGACCCGAAATCGATTCCGGTATGTTATTCTCATGTTATCCGGTGCAATTGCTACCCAATATACTCGTGTCGTATTTTGTGTGTTTGTATATATACATGTATATATATATATATATATGTATATGTGTGTGTGTGTGTGTGTGTGTGTGTGTGTGTGTGTTGTGAGAGAGAGATTGAGTAGAGGAGAGAGAGAGAGAGAGAGAGGGAGAAAGGTTTTTTTAAATTGTCATATGTATTTTGTCTCACAGGCCTTCGATGAGGTCATGGCAAAGTACAAAGCTCTGCACACTGACGATGCATCCCAACCAAGTCCTCTGTCGTTGACAGACCCCAGTCCTAAGTCTGAAGAAGCACCTCCATTCTCATCAGTAGGGAGGGGACCTGGTCGACGAGGTCGTCGGGGCCGTGAAAGTAAAACAGGACGTGGCCGTACTAACATACCTACATCAAACTTCAATCCAGATGATGCAGCTGGTGCGAGTACGCTACGTCGTAATTTTTTATTACCTTGCTGTTCTGAAGTTTTTTAACCTTTGAACAAATGTAAACTCAAATTCTTATAATCGTTAACACTGCATGTCAAAGGACATACTGCAAGTCGCCGATAAACTATTTTATTCTCTCCCTGTGTTAATCTCTCTCTCTCTCTCTATGTGTAAATATCTTTATAGATCTCTAAATGTAGAGTAAGATTTGTTCTCGCTTCTGTTTGTGTATTTAATGGTTAGTAGGTTGGATGGTTGATTGGTTAGTTGGTTGGTTGGTTGGTTGGTTGGTTGGTTGGTTGGTTGGTTGGTTGGTTGGTTGATATATTATATATAAGGGGTGGTAATGAGTGGCTTAACTCAAGACATTCTAGCGCATGGATCATTGTTATATTTGATATTTTGACATAGTCTCATATTTGAAATGAAAACTGTAAGTAGAATTGAGTCTATTGTTTTTTCAGCACCATCGCTGTTTTCCGAAGTGTCTACTCCTGTTCGGGGACAACTGCAAATGTTCATCGGCGACCTAACGCTGAACGTCCGCAAAGGAGATCTCACCACGGAGACCACAGACTGCATTGTCAACAGCACGAATGAGAAGTTGGATTTAACCAAAGGTTTTAAACATTGTTATGGCTATATTGTTTTCCCTCGTGTTTCTTTTTCTCCTTCTCCTGCCATTTCGTTAAATGGATTCAATTTCCACGGTGGTAAAATCTGGGCTGCAAAGTTCCCACATTTCATAGAATCCGAACAGTGTCCGATCGTGTTCGATCTGGGCAATTCGAATCGAACCCGCGTTCCATTTCGGGGTCACCTGCGGTCATTTGCATGATAAAGCGGCAAAACAAGCCCTTCTGCCTGAGTGCCTCGCAACAGATAAAAAACAACACTTTTCTATAGATACAAACAGCTTCCAGGACAGTACATGTCCGCTATTATTTTTTGTGGACATGTAACATGTAGCGAAGCTACTGTCGTATACTTGGGTAACCTTGAATACTGTAATGATTCTTTACGCCTTTATGATTAACACGGTGCACACTTTTGGCAGATATGACATGTCTGCAAAACTCGTTCAAACCTGGAAACATGGAGAGTCAAACATATCCCATTTAAGGCTCAAAATGACTGCCAAGGTTGTCCCAAAAATCGTGCTTTAGGGATTTTTGAAAAATGCTCTTGATTTTGAATTATGGGTAATTAAGTGCGAAAAAGCAAAAAAAAAATTTCACCTATTTGTCAACAAAAACTATACTTTAAGTCAGAAATAAAAAAAATCCCAAAAGCACGATTTTTAATCTTATTCCTGGTCGTCGAAAAATATAAAAATCAGTGACCTTGCGTAATATGTGTAGCCAGGTTTGCTCGGTGATTGGCTAAAATATGGCGCACCGAAATCCCATAAATTATCGACTTTTTTAACGAAACCCGAAAAAAACATCATTTTAGAGCAAAAAATCACCATTGAATGTATGTAAAGACGATAATTTTATTTTATTTCAACGAAATTTTCCCTTCGATACTAGTTTGTTTATTTTCAAATGTTTTACGGTTAGCCCAAAATTGCGTCTTGTAACCCGATACTTTATCGAACGCACCCAGCAATGGGAAAGAATGCCGTAGTGACAGACCGCCGTGTTCTTCCAATTTGCGGCCAAATGTCATGGTAGTGTGGCCAAATACCCCCAGACGTTTTTATTTTATTTTATGGATACAAGCTTTTGAATTGTTTTATTTGTTGTTTTTATAGGCCAAAAATGTACATATTGGGATCTGGAGCCCTGGTATTAAATCCGAATGACCTGAAATTCGGTATTTGGACCACTTTAAAATTGTGTAAAATAGACCTTTTTGATTATTTCCGGACCAAAGATATGCATTTTTTGCTCATGTACTCTAAGTTTAAAACCTGAAATTTCGTATGGGAGATCCTAGGATACAAACCAAACGAATGTTTTTTCACGCCTTTGCTGATGTGTTTTACTTTGAAATTATGTAAAATCGAACTTTTTTGTTGTTTTTTGGCTCCTGTGCGCTAATACGAAAACCAAATAACCTGAAATTAAACGTGAGGGTAGCTTGGCACCAAATGCTTAGACTATAGTGTTCACTGGTCGAATCTCCGCCTTTAAAGATAGGGATTACTTTGGCAATTTTTGTCCCGGAGGGGACCTCACCACTTTGTAACGATAATGTAAGAATATGGGTTAGAGGAGTAAGGATGTGCGGATGGGCCAATTTTAGGAAATATATGAAAGGCGTGTCTATAATCGACTGATTAAATATCTCAACACTAATGATATTCTATATATTATTAAACAACAATACGGTTTTCGCAAAGGTATATCCACTTCCCTTGCCCTTATACAGCTAGTAGACAGAATGTCCACAGCCATTGACAAAAAGTTCAATACACAATAGGAATATTTTTAGAATTATCAAAAGCTTTTGATACAGTAAACCACACCATACTCATCCGGAAACTAGCTGCTTATGGCGTAACTGGCATTGCATTAAACTGGTTTCGAAATTATCTCAACAATAGAAAAATATAAGTGGCTCTAAATAGATCGAAATCTACATGTACATACAAGGAAATTCAGTGTAGTACCACAAGGATCGATCCTAGGTCCCTTACTGTTCTTGATTTATATCAATGATTTTTTCTTAATATGCTTTGTATGCCCTAACTGTTTTTATACTGATAGAACATTGACGTTATGACGGGCAAATTTGACTTTAATATATAGGGTTTATCTTGACACAGGTGCTGTTTCCAATGCAATATGTAAAGCTGGTGGGCCTAACATTGAACGTGAATGTGCAAATATCGGTAGGTAAATACATTTCCCTAGGTGTGAAAGCGTAATTAGGAAAGCACTAGGGTGTTCAATTTAATTACCTGTCATTTACCTACTGGATCTTGAAAAATGTTGGGGGTGCCACAAATTTACGTAGAAGAGTTTATGTCAGGGTGACCGACCCCATTTTGTGTAGAAAATATAGTTTTAACTGTTGTATTGCACCTTTACATTTGAGAAAGTCATCAGCAAGCTCATCAGTGAAATCTGAATACAACCTCACCTTCAAAGGTTACCCTGGCACATATATGCAGCTTTGCTGTTGAAAGATGAACGTGGAAACACGCTCAAGCTCATAGTAGTCTTGTAGGTGTGGTTGAATTTGTGACAGTGGAGAGGGGCGAAGAGCTTTCACAAGCAAAGCGTTAAAGAAACTTCGGTGATCTTCTTACATTTGTGTATATGTTTCTTTGTAGCTGCTAGCGGGGGTATGAAAGGCGGCATTGCAGTCACAGGAGCAGGGAAGCTCAAATCTAACAAGATCATCCACGCAGCGGCACCGGCTAAAGCTACAGATTGGAAGACGGTGATCATCAACTGTTTGCAGACGGCAGACTCGCTCGGACTTAGGTCCATTGCATTTCCAGCTTTGGGAACAGGTAAGACAGGATTGACATTACTGTGAGCAAACACGTCAAATTGTATATAATATAGTTTGACCAATAGCTGGCGTCATGTGTTCTTATAGTTATTGTTTTCATTTTGACCCGATGAAGTTGTGGTTGGGTAAAATGGGTAGACATGTTTGCTGTGTTGGTTTGAATACCTAGTATTGCTCAAAGTTTCCTCAATAATTATAACAACTTACATGCTTATACATTTTATCAAACAAAGGTATTCTGCAGGGAAGTGCGGCGCAAACTGCAACCACTATGCTTGATGCCCTTCAAGACTTTGTTCTCCAATACAAGCCAACAAAACTCAACGAAGTTCGCGTTACCATATTCCAACAAGAGATGGTGCGTACTTTCCATGAAGAAATGAGAAAGATGGTTGGGCAACCTCTACCCAAGACCAAGGCAGCGAAAGCATCTGGAATCTTTGGTAAGCTCCCCTCCAACAGAAAACATACCTGCCTATTATCACTGCAAACGTTTTTAGCTATCACCATTTACTTGTTTATAAGTGTATGAGGACAGACTAAACAATGCATTTGTTCCATTCTTGCGAAATACCATCTTGATATTGAAACATCCAGAGACGTTGCAATCGTTAAGAAATCTATCTAGAATATGACGTACGACACGATTTGGGTCGTACAAATAGCAACAGCATGGATTGTCTTTCTTTGGTTGACTCAAGAGATGTTTCATAGATAATGCACAATTGACGATCATTGCTTGGAATTGGAATTGACAGGACATGTCACAAATCCTGACTGTCTGTCATTGATATGTTAATGTTAGTTAGAGTAAGTAGTGTCTATATCCCCATAGTGCAAAATATCCCCATAGTGCAAAAAAGTGTGGTACTATCCAAAACGTGTGGTACTAAAACTCATTTGCATAAAATTAGTACCACACTTTTTAGTTAGTACCACAATTTTTGAGTTTAAGAAACCAGGTCCCCCCTCTGTGTAGGCTAATCACCCAAGGAACAGGAGGATTGAAACACAAACAGACCAGGTTTCTTAAAGACAAATGCTGCATTGAAACTGATATTGAACAAGAAAACTGAAATCAAACGAGAAAAACTGACATTGAACAAGTTTGAAAGATAACTTTTGGGAAATGGCCATGTTCTAAGTCAAATAGACTATGGGCGTGTGCTCGTTTACTGGGCTGTCACCTCGGGAGTCAGGCAGTCCCCTTGTGGGCGGAGCAACACTATATCCCAGTGAACATGCCTAGCCCATGGTCTATCTATAACTTCTGAAGTAAAGTTGGGGGACAGTCGATAAGTTGACAATACAATTGACCTACGTTTTAACAGGAAGCATCGGGAGAGCTGCAGCTGCAGGATGGAGCTATCTCACCGGAGGACAGACAACAAACACCGACAACCCGCCCATCCCGTCAGCCGATAACGTCGTCGTTCTTGTTATCTACGCTGACCGTGCCGACAACATCGTTGAAGCAAAGGCCATGATCAGCAAGATCATGGACGACGCTTCTAAAGATGAAAGAATCCCTCTAAGGATCAAATTAACGGAAGAGCTAAAGGATCATGTAAAAGGCATCGCTCAGCGTCACGATTGTTCGGTTACTTTTACTAGAAGCATTATCCGCGTGCAAGGTCGGTTGATTGACGTAATGGAAACTTCCCGCGACATCATGGAGTTTCAGCGGGATGTCGAGACGAAGACCAACGAAGAAAAGCATCTCAGCGACAAGGCGGAGCTTCTGCTGAAGACCGTGCAGTGGTACTACATTGTCGAAGAGAGGCAGCCATATGACTCCAAGGTCAACTACATATTAGAGAAAGCCTACTTGGCCAACGAGACAGGCGTTGATTTTCAATTCGACGGAGAAGACCTGCACATAGACCTCACGACAATGAAGGAAACGGTGGTTGGCGACAGATCGGCGGTTGCGATCGACGTGATTCGACTTGAAAAGGAAAAGGAAGGTAACTGTAAGGGTGATTTACCTTGAGTTATCTATGTTTAAGCAAGAACCCTATTCCATCAACTTGCACACGGTACATGTAGCTTTAGCTCAGCCATCGCAATGGTTCTCTAACGGCTTAACTTGACGTTAACTTGAAACGATTGTCATTTTCAGGGGTTTTAAATTTATTCAATGTTTCAAATGACTTGTTCGAAATTAATGAAATTCAATTCACGGTCCACTTAGTCGAATTATTACCCAGTTTACTTTTCTATCCTCAAAAATTTTTGTGAGTTAATATATTCTAGCTCAGTTAAGACATAAAAATATTCCAGATCTGAATGTCTTCGTGGTAACATTTTCAAGATCGGCTGACCGGAAGACTACTCCAATTTATGGTATGTTTTGTTGAACTAGGCAATATAAAGATACCAGAAACCTGGACCGTCGTGTCAGAAGAAGATCCGTCCAAAGCAGTCGAGCTGCAACCTTCAACAGATGAGTATAAGAAGGTCCATGATGAGTTCATGAAGAGTATCGCCACAGCCGCCCCTACTGCGGGATATTCTGCCATAACATCAGCAAAAGTACTAAAGGTGGGTAGTTTTGTTGTTGTTGTTGTATGCTGTATATTTGTCCAAAATATCATTTACTCACATATTCCACAAATAGCTAATTGCTGTGGGAAAATATAAGTTACTTTTATTCGAAATCACGTTGACTTCGAACTGTCAAACTGCTTAATTCCAGATACAACGCATAGAAAATGCCGCCCTGTGGAAGCAGTACATGGTCAGAAAAAAGAAGATGGAACTGGACAACGCAAAAAGTAGTCAGCCTGTCGAGCGGATCCTGTACCACGGTACTCCTGTTGATCCAATCTCGAGCATCAATCGTACAGGCTTCAACCGCAGCTTCAGCGGCCGCAATGTCGGTACGTGTTCATATTTGTTCCGATATATATATATATATATAGTTTTGAAAATTCTAGAAGATTTCAAAACGAATTCCACATGCCATGGATAAGTATGTTGAATGACAACAAACAATGTCAATGGCGCTGTCTCCACAAAACCTAGTAAAAGTGCATATATATATATGGGGATTATGTGTAAACGTAAGGGGAAGTGGCGGTCACAGTTACTAAACGGTTCAGTATCCAGTCCAATCGTGTTGTATATCATCTTGCAGGTGCGGTTTTAGGCAATGGCCCTTACTTTGCAGTAACGGCGAGTATCTCCGGAGCTGACCAGTACGCACGACAAGATTCCAATGGCCACAGGTACATGTACATGGCGCGTGTGCTGTCAGGAGATATGTGCAAGGGGCAAAGGAACATCATCGTTCCCCCCGCGAAAGACTCGACCAAGCCACATATTACATACGACAGTGTGTGTGATAATGCAACAACACCACAGATCATAGTCATATTCTATGACTCACAGGCCTATCCTGAATATCTTATCACCTTCACCAAGTAAGATATTACTGCTTGCTCTGGTCCACTGACACACTGTCATACTGTAGTATACAAATGCCAACTATGCCATCTTGCTGCGTGCTTCAAGCAAGTTTGCCAACATACTACATGAAACAGGTCTATGCAGCAACTAACAGCAGGCAGCAAACAAAAGAAAAACATTAATTTTCACCAATTTTCTTTGACTACTATTGCAGTAAAATTGTATTAGAGTATGATTAAAACAAAGAACAACCCGATTCGGAGATCCTCCACCAATTCTGGGAGGGCGATAATGCTACGTGATATCGTCCATGCATAACATTCCACATTCCCATAGCCAGTCGGCTATTCCTGCATTGCTATCTCATTCTCAGTAAATATTCATTGCATTCTGTTGAAATCATTTTAACATGTTATCTATATATCATTTAAAGTATTCTCCAAATAATCCTGAATATTTCTGGTACACAGTTGTTCACAACATTATGCTAGGACCAACTTTATGCCAAAAATTGACATAACATTTACATTATACTGCTGCACTTAGAAATAAGCAATTTTTGAAATTAGTTATTAGGTAAGTAATGGCCAAAAAATGAAATCAACAATTGAGTAGTATGCTAAGACTGGCTCTTTTAATATGTTTTGCTGAAAAGTAGATGATAATTTGAAAAAATCGTCTTTCCTACAGTGCCATTAACAATATGTATTACACGTTATCAAAATATCTCCTTGTACCCCCCAAAATTGTGACAGGACTGGCCATTTTAAATATTATACATGGTAAATCTATATGTAACGCAGAATATGTATCTTTATGTTGCTTGTAGTTTGGGTTAAAATACGAAATAGCTTTCAGTTATTTGCTGATCATGAAAACATGTAGTGTCCGTAGAAATGTGAGTATAAATGGTTCACTAATTGGAATATAAATGCCATGGATACAAACTCACTATTCTGAAAATTTAAAGATGTTGGTCATATGACAGAAGCCACATATGTGGTGCTGTTTTATTTTAAATTCTAATCAGGTAACCCAGAATGACAACAGATTTTCACTACATTATGAAAAACGTACCAAAATTCGTAATATGTATGTGATAATATCTTATCTCATCATTTGGGACACAGATTATGATTATGTTATTGTCATTGTTATAATATAAACAGAGATTTCTCTAGTGATTATGCAAATACTTCTCATTGTTTTAACAATTCTTATAATTTTTGAAGCAACGTATCTAAACGATTGTTACTTCTCCTATACTGCATTTCCTTTTTTTAAAATAAACAAAAAAAACTACTTTACAAGAAAATTGTATTTCATAATCTCAAACTTAAAGCAAATACTTGATCCATCAATTAGGCTAAGAAAACTTGAAATTTATGTGTAATTTTTATGCAATTATGAGTTTATTCTTACATATACAATATATGTGTTTTATTAGATCTCGATGGTAGCAATTATAAAAACATAATGGCTTTCCTAATGGCACAAGATACTATAATACTGATACTGTACTTCCTATTTTAGCACTGTTCTACATTGCGTAAAAGTTTACCTTTCAATGTTAATGCATGTTAATTAAAACAAGCTAGTAGATGAACCTCTATTGGAGGGAAGTATGGCGTAGAGCGACGGCTTTGGGAAAAAAAGAAATGGCTGTGACGTACACAATGACTTGACTTTCTACATTAGAATGGACCAACCTTTATATCTATCACAATGCTTCTCATTCTAAGCATACTACTGAAAAACTGTTATTTGAAAAAGTTATCTTCGAAAAATGTATTATCCACGACTGTCAAATTCTTGTGTTTTGCCATAGCCATATCTTTTAGTCCACGCCTAAAAAATATAGTATGAACCATCATTCTCATTAAGAATATGTAGTCGGAAAGTCTCTTAATTATTATAACATTTGATTTTGATCTTCCTAAGCTTGGTTTAGTAGTTTTTAATCATTTGACATTAACTGACAGTGAAACCATAGACTAAGGTTATAATCTGATAGTAAAAGCTATTACAAACGCCTAGTATTTACAAAGCATCATTCAGTTATTATGTTGATTTGGTTATATGGATGACATCCTCTGAGAACCCAAAAACTGATGCAAGCGTGCGAATAAAAAAAAAGAAAAAAAGTTTGTCAAAAAAGTTGCCCTCATTTTGAAATCTACGTGGTCATTTAGGTTGAACAAATGACACATGTTATGGCGAATAATCTACTCTTCAAATTCATTTCTTTACATTTTCGTCTTTTTCGTTTGATTGATTTTGGTATTCTACGACATTGGTATCATCTTCCAATATATATATATATATATATATATTGTCCAACATACGGCATATAATTATTTTCTCATTTTGCAATTGTTTGGTACGATTTACAGTATGGTTGAAAACTTTTTTTTTGAAACGGCCGAAAATCATGAGCGCGCGGATGTCATCCATATGGTCAAATCAACATGGTCTAACTACTAACAAAACCAACGTTTGACATCTGTCAAGATATCTACCAATTTGCGAACGAGGCCAAGGCATTTGCAAATACATAAAGTACCCGTCATGCATGACACCTACACGATGCCATGGACTGGTTCATTGTTTGCACAATGATGCATTGTAAAAATTCATGTTGTGTTGTAGAAGTTTCATATCAATCTTTTGCATTCCATTTGATATTTGTGCTTGGTGTGTGAATAAAACAAACCGATCAAAATACTGAGGATATGCTTTCTTTTTTTTGCGTTGCTGATATTATTATAGGTTGATTGTCGTTGTTCTTTTGCAACACAATTGGATGTTAATCCCAGAAGATTCTCATATTTCTGCTTATTAATGTGTCTGTTATGAATATTTTCAAATAAGAAACCAAAGAGATCAGATTGAAGGTAAATTGACATATCTATATATATTAGTATTTCTCTTTTCATTACATCAAGAATACACAACTGGCATTCTTTAAACTAAACTTGGTTGTGGAATTTCCATTACTGAATTCCTTATTTATCAAATTATAAACATCGTAGGAATATTATATAAAAAAGGGATACACAGGTTTAAGATAAAGGAACATTATCTAAATACAAAGTACATCGATGCACTATACGAAGTTGTAATATCAGTTTGTATCACAAAGCGCCATTCATGATTATTAAGCAGATTACTACTTTTAACATGGGAATGATGGCTTTCTCAGCACCAAGGACAGGCCTATTCAATCAGAAATTCAACTCCTGCCCGGTGTCACCGATCTTGTGCCCTTTGGAAATGCAATTTATACGACTTTCCTGACTTCACTCAGTGTAAATGAGTACCTAGCTTCGGCTAGGGACGCCGCTCGGATAGGACGTTAAATCGAGGTCCCGTGTTTGGGACAGTCACACCCCACACACGTTAAAGAATCCACCACACTTATCGAAAAGAGTAGGGGACCTTCCTGGTGTGAGTGGATCAAACCTTACAGTGTGGTCTCAGGATTGACATTTTGAAGAAGTGATTGTCGCCTGCTGTGTCAATCGTTCCACAAATGTGGTAAATCTTCATTAAAAATAGGAAGATAACAGCCATCAAACAGTTCGATTTCTTACCTCATGCTTGCATCAGATGTCTTCATTTGCTAAAAGAAATATTCTTCGCTCCCTCCAGGCGACACATGCCCCATCTTCTACATGTACAGAGGTTGTTGTGATGCTTTTAAACAATAGACAAGCTTCATGCATATTCAACATGTAGACAGGTCGGTTTATCCTCCACTGAGATATATTTTTAAGACGTGGCAAAAAAATTTTGTAGTTGTTATTTGATTGATTGATGACTGCTCGGATAAATTTTTGGGCAAATTTCAATTTCTGTCGATAGAAGACATCCATGTAAGATATTAAAGAAAACTAATATAAAAATGCTGAAGCGCCAATATTAAGGAAACTAAGACGTGTGTTATTACAAAGATATGACCGATGTTCTAGTCGCACAGACAACTCAGGTTAACCACATAGTAAAACTAAAATGGTGGACAGCCATGCATGGTGTTTCATTACCTTCGCCAAGAAGGTTATGTTTTCAGTAGCGTTTGTCTGTGTGTGGGTGTGTTTGTGTGTGTGTGTGTGGTTTAGCAAGATAACTCGAGAAGCAGTGGATGGATTGGAATGAAACTTGGTAGGTGGGTAGGTCTTTATGAGACCTAGAAATGATTAGATTTTGGGCCCCCTGGCGGCTTTCCTAGGTACTGCAGCAGAACTTCCGGTTTTGATATCTCGTGATCTAGACATGCTAGGGTCACGAATTTTGGATGACAGATAGCTCTTGGGATATGAAAGAAGTGACATGAGTTTGGGTCCCCTAGCGGCTTGTTCTGGAACTGCAGGAGCATTTGTTGAAAATTTTTCGAAGGAGGACAATTCAAGAACCGGTTGACGGATTGTTGTGATTTTTGGTATGTAGGTAGTTGAAGTGATGCTTGACATGATCAGATGACAATTATGCAAATCATGAGCTAATTTGCATAATTAATGAGGAAATTCTATAAATCTGCTTTGTTCGATAATAGAACTATGAAACACTTGTGACATCACTTGTGAGAACGAGAAAAAACATCTGAGGATATAGATTATGTAAATGAGGACATAATTTGCATAATAAATGGCAAATTTTTATAATTTCATAGTTGTAACTGCTGGGAATTTCATACTTGCCACATTTGGAAGTTAAGTGAAGGTGAACATCAACAAACATAATTTATTCAAATCATGGCCTAATTTGCATAATTTATGAGGAAGTGCTATAATAGCATTTTTGTTAAGATAAGGCTGTCATTGGGTGGAGAATATGATCAACTGATATAATCCATGCAAATGGGGCTCTTATTTACAAAATCAATGATTAAAATTGTATAATTTGTCAACCACAAGGGTTAACATCATTTGGCGAAGGTATGAGATCGTGGAACTCTTGTTCTTTATTTCCAACATCCAATCATCCTTGCTTTGAGATGTTAATACGTCTGAAGTGGTGTTGTAGGTTGTCGGCGTGCTTACCTGGATCGTAAAGAAGTCGGGCGGATGTTGGGAGGGAGTCGGTCCGCAGGCTTGGTCTCGAGGATGATTTCAGGTGCATTCCAGAAGTTTTTGGGAAGAGAGAGGACTTCGTGGGCGTATCTGATAGTCCGCGTTTCTGAATACTAAATGCTTTCTTGCTATGCATTTCAGTACTTGGTCTTTCTGAGTTTGTAGTCTCCTCAGTAGCCTCTACTTGTTGGGCTTTTTGAGGCTTCTGAATGTATTGAATCTGATTATCATACCTCGGTAGCCTCTACGTATACCGGGCTTTGAAAATCACCACAAAGCCGTACTGATACACAAGGCCTTGAATAACCGGTTACCGACATACATGCGCCGAATTTTCAACTTCTGCGGAGACATAGGTACCAAGAGCACTAGAGTAAATGCTTCCGATTTTCTAGTGGTACCGATGTCCCTAGCCTTGAGAGAGGTTTACAGGAGCTTCAACTCACTACCACAAGACGTCAGAGCACCACCTTCTCTAAATTTTAAAAGACTTTTGTCTCTGTGAATGACCCTTACAGAACGATTATGGACCTAATGATGTGATGACCTGTCATTTTTTCTGTTACAGCTATTTATTCATTTATTTCCAACTTTTAAAAGACTTTTGTCTCTGTGAATGACCCTTACAGAACGATTATGGACCTAATGATGTGATGACCTGTCATTTTTTCTGTTACAGCTATTTATTCATTTATTTCCAACTTTTAAAAGACCTTTGTCTCTGTGACTGACCTTTACAGAACGATTATAGACCTAATGACGTGATGACCTGTTTTTTGTTATCGCTATTTATTTATTTATTCTTTGTATTATTGATTTTGTTTTAGACTTATTTCGACAAATATTTGTACTTTTATTTTTTGTGTTGACCCCGACCCTTTCACTCGCACTCGATCCCCATGAAAAGCGGGCAAGATGGCCGAATCAGGTAATCTATCCGTATGTATCGGGTATAAATAAAGGCACAAGCACTCATAACATTCCTCATATTTCCTTTTATTTCTTCTGGCATCAAATTTCTTCTTGCTCTTAGTGCCAACTACAACAGGAGGAAGAACAACTAGTTTTTTTCCAAACAGCCACAGTTCGTAACATTTACACTTATAGATGTCTGTGCATGCTTAACAGTCATCAATGTTCATGTGACGGTCACGAGATGTTCTCGAGGTTGGTGCGGCTGTCCTGAAAACCAAAAATAAAAAGAACGACTTAAAAGAAATTTGCCTTATCCTTAATTATAAGTATCCTTAAGATAAGTCTCCAGCTTTGCAGCCATGCTGCATTTACATTTCTTCCGTGTCCAGAAATAGGATCAAATAATTACCATCACTAGAGTAGCTCAAGGCCGCAGAACACAGTAATTATCCGCGAACCCCGGGGGTCTATGACGCGGGTATAGAAAGTAGTGCAGACAAACCTCTTGCATGCTGGCTAAAGCGACTTATGTGAGAGGTAGCCATGAATGAACTGCACTGTGTGGTATGGAAAGGTATCGGCTTGTACACCGTATGAGTTGGATTGAGAAGGTTTCCCTGTTCGTGTATAAATGCGCGGCATTACGCAACCGCGTTCCGGGGTGAGCCGGCTGCAGTTCTGTTGACCCCGGTAGAGGGCCAAATCAAAGTGGTCGTCATTATGTTAAAAAACCATAGCTTTTTTTTTGGTTTTCAGTTATTTTGTAGAATATACCATATATTTCAACATATTAGTTGGCCATAATTCTCTAGTGCACCCTACTATAATTTTTACGGCGTCGAAGTGAGTCATCTCGGGGTGCTTAACTATAGAAATCCCCATAGGGATTAATGATTAAATTAATTATTAATTAAATGATGAATAGGTTGCCTATGGGAAAACATACAATGTGTAAGAATGCAACGACAAAGCACAAATTAAAGAGTGAATGTCCTTTGTACTTACATTTTCTTTATTCAAGTTCCTCCATCATGTCCACCATTTCGTCGTCCAGGTCCTGCAACTCCCTGGCCATCTCGCGGCGTTCAGCCTCGGCCAGTCGGCGGGCCAACAAAGACTTCAGGGCCGCCACTTCCTCACGGGTAGACTTGGAAGCACGCTCTGGGGTAAAGAAAGTAAAACACGCTATTCAAAGAAGACCCTAGAAATACAACTAAACAACCAGCCAATGGGGTCGTGTGCGTGTGGCGTAACGAACGTTCGGGTCGTGTAGCGTAACGATCGAGCGTACGGCTCAGAACCAAGAGGTCCCGAGTTCGAGTCCTGCCATACCACCGACCTTGTGCCCTTGGAAAAGACACTTTACACGAATTTCCTCACTTTACTCAGGTAAAAATGAGTTTGTTTGTTGTCCATTCATGCATATGTTTCGGTTGGTGGCAGTTAAATATCAGTTGAAAAAAAACTCGAGTGTGCTGTCGCAATCTCTTTTAATACATGATGGAAAAGAAAAAAAGCCAATTATACAACATTATATTGATTAAGTCTTGCCCACCTAATGCAAAGCAGTTACACAGACATTTTGAAAGATGTTTCTTTGCGCGTAGGCGATCGTACGATTCTGATGCTCTAGTCTACATGTGAAAGAACCAACCACTGACAAGGATCTGAACGTATAGCGTGGCAGCGTTTTCTACAAGTGCGAGCCGGTCGATTGCAACACGTTCAAAAATTTCAACCTATACCATTGTGTGATAATTTGTAGAGTGAAGACGCATGAGGAAAAACAATATATTTCATTTATATCTTTGGTATGGAATGAAATATAATGATGGTTTCTTTACCAAGTCCCCTTCCAGCCCTCACAAAGCTGTCGGCGGTCATAATTTCAGACGAGATGACCAGCACAGCCAGAAGCAGTACCAGGGTAGTTTTCATCCTGAAGACGGAAGTACAGTCGGGTTGACGTCCTCGAAAATCTGTAGATTAAGGAAAAAAATGTCGTTGTGTAGATCAAGTGCTCTGATATCAGCCGAGTTGCCGGCTTTATATAGGATTGTGAAGCTCTGTCAGTCTTTTGATGTCCATGAACCATTTCTGAGAAAGCTTTTGGAGCTTTCGAACAATAGACTAGCTTCATGCATATTCAACATGTAGAGAGACCGGTTTATCCTCCAGTGAGATATGTTTTGAAGACGTGGCAAAAAACTTTTGTAGTTGTTATTTGATTGATTTTTCTGTCTGACTATTTGAAAAATTTTGGGGGCAAAATTTCAATTTCCCTCGAGAGAAGACATCTGTATAAGAAAATGCTGAAGCCCCAATATTAAGGAAACTTAGACATGTGCTATTATAAAGATATGACTTATAAAGATATTCTAGTCACACAGAATGAGAGAGGCACTTCATGGGGGTATCTGATAGTCCGCTTTGCTAATGTCTTGCAAACCGTGAACTCTTTTCTTCGCAAAAAATACTCTCCCTTTCTGAGTACTAAATGCTTTCTTGTTATACATTTCAATACTTGGTCTTCCGAGTTTGTGGTCTCCTCAGTAGCCTCTACATGTTGGGCTTTTTGGGCTTCTGAATGTACTGATTCTGATTATCATGGTAGCCCCTATCAGGCTTGCCAGGTGTTTGGCGGCTACAAGACAGTATGGTTCCGTGGCAAAGCGGTAGTGTGTTCGGCTCAGGACTAAGAGGTCCCTGGTTCGAATCCTACCCATGTCACCGATTTTATGCCCTTAGCGGCTACAAGACAGTATGAGATTGGCAAGACAGTGTCCATTTTCCACCTGTTTTGGCTTGCGTAAAAAAAAGATACCAGCAGAAGAAAAAATCCCGATAAAAACACGTCAAACATAAGTTGAAGCCTAAACCTCTGTTTGGAGAATATATAGATCTAACCTTTCTATCTTTACAAGTTAAAAACAACATATCGGCGGAGAAAGAAAAAAAACCACCTGTCACGGAAAACTCCTTAAGACAATGTTCTCAAGGCCATTAAGACTCAATATGGCCCAGTTTAAGATTTCCCTAACTTCCATATATGGTAATTTAAAGTCCCCGGATGCAGTCACCTGTCCAGGGACCAATCATTGCAATTTTTACTTCATGCTGCTTGCATGAGATGTCTTCACTTGCTAAAGAAATATTCTTCGCTCCCTCCAGGCGACACATGCCCCATATTCGACATGTACAGAGGTTGTGGTGATGCTTTTAAACAATAGACTAGCTTTATGCATATTCAACATGTAGAGAGACCGGTTTATCCTCCAGTGAAATATATTTTGACGACGTGGCAAAAAAAATTTTGTAGTTGTTATTTGATTGATTTTTCTGTATGACTGTTTGAAAAATTTTTGGGGCAAAATTTCAATTTCTGTCGAGAGAAGACATCCGTATAAGTAAGTGCTGAAGCGCCAATATTAAAGAAACTAAGACATGTGCTATTACAAAGATATGGAGGAATTTCTAGTCGCACAGAATGAGAGAGGCACTTCATGGGGGTATCTGATAGTCCGCGTTACTAATGTCTTGCAAACCGTGAACTCTTTTCTTCGCAAAAAATACTCTCCCTTTCTGAGTACTAAATGCTTTCTTGTTATGCAATTCAATACTTGGTCTTCCGAGTTTGTGGTCACCTCAGTAGCCTCCACGTGTTGGGCTTTTGGGGGTATTCTGAATGTACTGATTCTGATTATCTTATCTCGGTAGCCTCTACCAGGCTCACCAGATATTTTGCGGCTACAAGACAGTATGGTCCAGTGGCAAAGCGGTAGTGTGTTCGGCTCAGGACCAAGAGGTCCCGGGTTCGAATCCTACGCATGTCACCGATTTTGTGTCCTTAGCGGCTACAAGACAGTATGAGATTTCCAAAATGTCCATTTGCCACCTGTTTTGGCTGGCGTAAAAAAAAGATACCAATAGAATACCAATAAAAACAGGCCAAACATAAGTTGAAGCCTAAACTTTTGTTTGGAGACTATATAGTTCTAACCTTTTATCTTTACAAGTTAAAAGAACATATCTGCGGAGAAAGAAAAACACCCACCTGTCACGGAAAACTCCTTAAGACAATGTTCTCAAGGCCATTAAGACTCAATATGGCCCAGTTTTAGACGTCCCTAACTTCCATATATGGTAATTTAAAGTCCCCGGATGTAGTCACCTGTCCAGGGACCAATCATTTCTGTTTTTACCTCATGCTGCTTGCATCAGATGTCTTCACTTGCTAATAAAGAAATATTCTTCGCTCCCTCCAGGCGACACATGCCCCATATTCTACATGTACAGAGGTTGTGGTGATGCTTTTAAACAATAGACAAGCTTCATGCATATTCAACATGTAGACAGGTCGGTTTATCCTCCAGTGAGATATGTTTTGAAGACGTGGCAAAAACCTTTCGTAGTTGTTATTTGATTGATTTTTCTGTATGACTGCTCGGATAAATTTTTCGGCAAAACTTCAATTTCTGTCGAGAGAAGACATCCATGTAAGATATTAAGAAAACTAAAAATGCTGAAGCGCCAATATTAAGGAAACTAAGACGTGTGTTATTACAAAGGTATGACCGATGTTCTAGTCGCACAGACAACTCAGGATAATCACATGGTAAAACTAGAATGGTGGACAACCATGCGTGGCGTTTCATTCTTTTTTTCCAACATCCAACCATCCTTGCTTTGAGATATTAATACGTCTGAAGTGGCGTTGTAGGTTGTCGGCGTGCCTACCTGGATCGTAAAGAAGTCGGGCAGATGTTGGGAGGGAGTCGGCCCGCAGGCTTGGTCTCAAGGCTGGTTTCAGGTGCATTCCAGAAGTTTTTGGGAAGAGAGAGGACTTCGTGGGCGTATCTGATAGTCCGCGTTTCTGAATACTAAATGCTTTCTTGCTATGCATTTCAGTACTTGGTCTTTCTGAGTTTGTAGTCTCCTCAGTAGCCTCTACTTGTTGGGCTTTTTGGTACTTCTGAATGTACTGATTATCATGGTCCGGTAGCCTCTACCGGGCTTTCAGAATCACTACAAAGCCGTACTGATACACAAGACATACATGCACCGAATGTTCAACTTCTACAGGGACATAGGTACCAAGAGCACTAGACTAAGTGCTTCCGATTTTCTAGTGGTACCGGTGTCCCTTGAGAGAGGTTTACAGGAGGTCCCTAGGCTATTCTGTCTCGCTTGGCTGCAACTCAATACCACAAGACGTCAGTACCTTCTCTAAATTTTCAAAGGCGTTTGTCTCTGTGAATGACCCAATAAAGAACGATTATGGACCTAATGATGTGATGACCTGTTGTTGTTTTTTTTTGTTACCGCTATTTATTTCCAACTTTTTAAAGACTTTTGACTCTGTGACTGACCTTTATGGAACGATTATGGACCTGATGACGTGATGACCTGTATTTTGTTATCGCGTTTTTATTACTGCTATTTATTTATTCATTGATTTATTTATTCTTTGTATTATTGGTTTGGTTTTGAGACCTATTTCGACAAATATTTGTACTATTATTATTTTGTGTTGAATCCGACCCTTTCACTCGTACTCGATCCCCATTAAAAGCGGTCAAGATGGCCGAATCGGGTAATCTATCCGTATGTATCGGGTATAAATAAAGGCACAAGCACTCATAACATTCCTCATATTTCCTTTTATTTCTTCTGGCATCAAATTTCTTCTTGCTCTTAGTGCCAACTACAACAGGAGGAAAAACAACTATTTTATTTCCAAACAGCCACAGTTCGTAACATTTACACTTATAGATGTCTGTGCATGCTTAACAGTCATCAATGTTCATGTGACGGTCACGAGATGTTCTCGAGGTTGGTGCGGCTGTCCTGAAAACAAAAAATAAAAAGAACGACTTAAAAGAAATTTGCCTTATCCTTAATTATAAGTATCCTTAAGATAAGTCTTCAGCTTTGCAGCCATTCTGCATTTACATTTCTTCTGTGTCCAGAAATAGGATCAAATAATTACCGTCACTAGAGTAGCTCAGGCTGTTTCACAGACACTTGTTTGAGTGTGGGACATCATATCTAATATTATTATATATTTACAAACTTTTTTAATTAAACGATGAATAGGTTGCCTATGGGAAAACATACAATGTGTACGAATACAACGACAAAGCACAAATTAAAGAGTGAATGTCCTTTGTACTTACATTTTCTTTATTCCAGTTCCTCCATCATGTCCACCATGTCGTCGTCCAGGTCCTCCAGCTCCCTGGCCATCTCGCGGCGTTCAGCCTCGGCCAGTCGGCGGGCCAACATCGACTTCAGGGCCGCCACTTCCTCACGGGTAGACTTGGAAGCACGCTCTGAGTTAAAGAAAGTAAAACAGGCTATTCAAACAAGACCCTAGAGATACAACTTACAACCAGCCAATGGGGTCGTGTGCGTATGGCGTAACGAAAGGTCGGGTCATGTAGCGTAACGACCGAGAGTTCGGCTCAGAACCAAGAGGTCCCGAGTTCGAGTCCTGCCATACCACCGACCTAGTGCCCTTGGAAAAGACACTTTACACGAATTTCCTCACTTTACTCAGGTGAAAATGAGTATGTTTGATGCCTATTCATGCATATGTTTGCGTTGGTGGCAGAATGAATATAGGTTGAAAAAACTTGAGTCTGCTGTCGCCATCTCTTGTAATAAATGTTGGAAAAGAAAAGAAAGCCAATCACACAACATTATCTTGATTAAGTCTTGTCCACCTAATGCAAAGCAGTTACACAGACATTTTGAAAGATTTTTTTTGCGCGCGTAGGCGATCGTACGATTCTGATGCTCTAGTATCTGTGAAAGAACCAACCACTGACAAGGTATAGCGTGGTAGCGTTTTGTACGACTACGAGCCGGTCGATTGCAACACGTTCAAAAATTTCAACCTATACCATTATGCGATAATTTGTAGAGTAAAGACGAATGAGGAAAAACTCTCATTTATATCTTTGGTATGGAGTGAAATATAATGATGGTTTCCTTACCAAGTCCCCTTCCAGCCCTCACAAAGCTGTCGGCGGTCATAATTTCAGACGAGATGACCAGCACAGCCAGAAGCAGTACCAGGGTAGTTTTCATCCTGAAGACGGGAGTACAGCCGGGTTGACGTCCTCGAAAATCTGTAGATTAAGGAAAATGTCCTTTTGTAGATCAAGTGTTCTGATATTAGCCGGGTTGCCAGCTTTATATAGGATTGTGAAGCACTGTCAGTCGTTTGATGTCCATGTTCTGTGGGTGTTTCCACATTCATTGTAACCATTTCTGTGCCCTTAGGGACTACAAGACAGTATGAGATTGGCATGGCAAGACAGTGTCCATTTACCACCTGTTTTGGCTTGCGTAAAAAAAAGATACCAATAGAAGAAAAAATCCCGATAAAAACACGTCAAACATAAGTTGAAGCCTAAATCTCTGTTTGGAGACTGTATAGTTCTAACCTTTGTATCTTAACAAGCTAAAAACAACATATCTGCGGAGAAAGAAAAACACCCACCTGTCACGGAAAAACTCCTTAAGACAATGTTCTCAAGACAAACAAGACTCAATGTATCCCAGTTTTAGACGACCCTAACTTCCATATATGGTAATTCAAAGTCCCCGGATGTAGTCACCTGTCCAGGGACCAATCACTCCTGTTTTACCTCATGCTGCTTGCATTAGATGTCTTCACTTGCTAAAGAAAAATTCTTCGCTCCCTCCAGGCGACACATGCCCCATATTCTACATGTACAGAGGTTGTGGTGATGCTTTTAAACAATAGACTAGCTTCATGCATATTCAACATGTAGAGAGACCGGTTTATCCTCCAGTGAGATATATTTTGAAGACGTGGCAAAAACTTTTGTAGCTGTAATTTGATTGATTTTTCTGTCTAACTGTTTGACAAATTTTTGGGGGCAAATTTTCAATTTCTCGAGAGAGAGAAGACATCCGTATAAGAAAATGCTGACGCGCCAATATAAGGAAACTAAGACGTGTGCTATTATAAAGATATGACCGAATTTCTATAGTCGCACAGAATGAGAGAGGCACGTCATGGGGGGATCTGATAGTCCGCGTTGCTAATGTCTTGCAAAACGTGAACTCTTTTCTTCGCCAAAAATGCTCTCCCTTTCTGAATACTAGATGTCTTCTTGCTATACATTTCAATACTTGGTCTTCCGAGTTTGTGGTCTCCTCAGTAGCCTCTACGTGTTGGGCTTTTTGGGGCTTCTGAATGTACTGATTCTGATTATCTCGGTAGCCTCTACCAGGCTTACCAGATGTTTGGCGGCTACAAGACAGTATGGGGTCGAGTAGCGCATAGGGGTAGCGTGTTTGGCTCAGGAGTGGACCAAGAGGTCCCGGGTTCGAATCCTACCCATGTCATCGATCTTGTGCCCTTAGCGACTACAAGACAGTATGAGATTGGCATGGCAAGACAGTCTCCATTTGCCACCTGTTTTGGCTTGCGTTAGAAAAAGATACCAATACAAGAAAAAATCCCGATGAAAACACGTCAAATATAAGTTGACGCCTAAACCTCTGTTTGGAGACTGTATAGTTCTAACATTTGCATCTTTACAGTCAAGCTAAAAACAACATATCTGCGGAGAAAGAAAAGCACCCACCTGTCACAGAAAAACTCCTTAGAAAATGTTCTTAAGACAACCAAGACTCAATATGTCCCAGTTTTAGACGTCCCTGACTTCCATATATGGTAATTCAAAGTTCCCGGATGTAGTCACCTGTCCAGGGACCAATCATTGCAGTTTTTACTTCATGCTGCTTGCATCAGATGTCTACACTTGCTAAAGAAATATTCTTCGCTCCCTCCAGGCGACACATGCCCCATATTCTTCATGTACAGAGGTTGTGGTGATGCTTTTAAACAATAGACTAGCTTCATGCATATTCAACATGTAGAGAGACCGGTTTGTCCTCCAGTGAGATATATTTTGAAGACGTGGCAAAAACTTTTGTAGTTGTTATTTGATTGATTTTTCTGTCTGACTGTTTGAAAAAATTTGGGGGCAAAATTTCAATTTCTCGAGAGAGAGAGAGAAGGCATCTGTATAAGAAAATGCTGAAGCGCCAATATTAAGGAAACTAAGACAAGTGCTATTATAAAGATATGACCGGATTTCTAGTCGCACAGAATGAGAGAGGCACTTTATTGGGGTATCTGATAGTCCGCGTTGCTAATGTTTTGCAAAATGTGAACTATTTTCTTTGCCAAAAATGCTCTCCCATTCTGAATACTAGATGCTTTCTTGCTATACATTTCAATACTTGGTCTTCCGAGTTTGTGGTCTCCTCAGTAGCCTCTACTTGTTGGGCTTTTTGGGGCTTCTGAATGTATTGATTCTGATTATCTCGGTAGCCTCTACCAGGCTTACCAGATGTTTGGCGGCTACAAGACAGTATGGGATCGCGTGGCATAGCGGTAGCGTGTTTGGCTCAGGACCAAAAGGTCCCGGGTTCGAATCCTACGCATGTCACCGATCTTGTGCCCTTGCGGCTACAAGACAGTATGAAATTGGCAAGACAGTGTCCATTTTCCACCTGTTTTGGCTGGCGTAAAAAAAAAAGATACCAATATAAGAAAAAATCCCGATAAAAACACGTCAATCATAAGTTGAAGCCTAAATCTCTGTTTGGAGACTGTATAGTTCTAACCTTTGTATCTTAACAAGCTAAAAACAACATATCTGCGGAGAAAGAAAAACACCCACCTGTCACGGAAAACCTCCTTACGAAAATGTTCTTAAGACAACCAAGACTCAATATGGCCCAGTTTTAGACGTTCCTAACTTCCATATTTGGTAATTTAAATTCCCCGGATGTAGTCACCTGTCCAGGGACCAATCATATCTCTTTTTACCTCATGCTGCTTGCATCAGATGTCTTCACTTGCTAAAGAAGAAATATTCTTCGCTCCCTCCAGGCGACACATGCCCCATATTCTTCATGTACAGAGGTTGTGGTGATGCTTTTAAACAGTAGACTAGCTTTATGCATATTCAACATGTAGAGAGACCGGTTTATCCTCCGGTGAGATATATTTTGACGACGTGGCAAAAACTTTTGTAGTTGTTATTTGATTGATTTTTCTGTCTGACTGTTTGAAAAAAATTGGGGGCAAAATTTCAATTTCTCGAGAGAGAGAAGGCATCTGTATAAGAAAATGCTGAAGCGCAAATATTAAGGAAACTAAGACAAGTGCTATTATAAAGATATGACCGGATTTCTAGTCGCACAGAATGAGAGAGGCACGTCATGGGGGGATCTGACAGTCCGCGTTGCTAATGTCTTGCAAACCGTGAACTCTTTTCTTCGCCAAAAATGCTCTCCCTTTCTGAATACTTAATGCTTTCTTGTTATACATTTCAATACTTGGTCTTCCGAGTTTGTGGTCTCCTCAGTAGCCTCCACGTGTTGGGCTTTTGGGGGGGCTTCTGAACGTACTGATTCTGATTATCTTATCTCGGTAGCCTCTACCATGCAGGCTTGCCAGATGTTTGGCGGCTACAAGACAGTCTGGGGTCGAGTGGCATAGCGGTAGCGTCTTCGGCTCAGGACCAAGAGGTCCCGGGTTCGAATCCTACGCATGTCACCGATTTTGTGTCCTTAGCGGCTACAAGACAGTATGAGATTTGCAAAATGTCCATTTGCCACCTGTTTTGGCTGGCGTAAAAAAAAGATACCAATAGAAAAAAATCCCGATAAAAACAGGTCAAACATACGTTGACGCCTAAACCTCTGTTTGGAGACTGTATAGTTCTAACATTTGCATCTTTACAGTCAAGCTAAAAACAACATATCTGCGGAGAAAGAAAAGCACCCACCTGTCACGGAAAGACTCCTTAGACAATGTTCTTAAGACAACCAAGACTCAATATGTCCCAGTTTTAGACGTCCCTGACTTCCATATATGGTAATTTAAAGTTCCCGGATGCAGTCACCTGTCCAGGGACCAATCATTGCAATTTTTACCTCATGCTGCTTGCATCAGATGTCTTCACTTGCTAAAGAAGAAAAATTCTTCGCTCCCTCCAGGCGACACATGCCCCATATTCTACATGTACAGAGGTTGTGGTGATGCTTTTAAACAATAGACTAGCTTCATGCATATTCAACATGTAGAGAGACCGGTTTATCCTAGCTCCGGTGAGATATATTTTGAAGACGTGGCAAAAAACTTTTCTAGTTGTTATTTGATTGATTTTTCTGTATGACTGCTCGGATAAATTTTTCGGCAAAATTTCTCTTCTCTGTCGAGAGAAGACATCCATGTAAGATATTAAGGAAACTAAAAATGCTGAAGCGCCAATATTGAGGAAACTAAGATATGACTAAGATATGACCTTACAAAGATATGACCGATGTTCTAGTCGCACAGACATCTCAGACTAACCACATGGTAAAACTAGAATGGTGGACAGTCATGTATGGCGTTTCATTCTATTTTTTCCAACATCCAATTATCCTCCAGTACCTGATGCAGATATTAACGTTTCGCAGCAAAACAGCCATTAGTTGTTCATTACAATTGTCCTGATGTCAAATGTAAGTAGATTTTGTTACGTTTCGTGACAATTGAAAAATCCTTGGAAAGCAACACTCAGCGCCGCGTCACTTCCGGGTCCTCCGAGTGACAGGCAGCCGGCAGCCCATAATACTCTTACAACCATGTCACCAAACAGCAACCGCTTGCTTTAGCATGTTTCACGTCATGTTTGCACCGGCCTTTTCCGGAATACGCTGAGTAGAAATCACGATTTATCTGTTCTGAAAGGTGTCGACACCGTGCGTGTTTAAAAAAAATAATCTCAACGTCCAACCTTTCTAGTGTCATCCCTTGAAATTCACAGAAATTTCCAGAGGAAATGCACATGCATGCATGTCGTGTGTTTTCATGTTATAACAAGAAATAGATTTCTTTTTTGGCGTGTTCGGGAAGGGGAACGCAAGGGCTAGTGCTGCGCCCAAGGACAACAACAGTTCTAAAAGAGTGTCTGAACTTTCTGAAGTCGTTACTGACGTTGAAAAAGCGCCTCCAGGTAGGTGATTACACATGCCGGGATCGGAGGGTATCCGATCCCGGCATGGCGCTCGCAATCTAGGGGGATCCTGGGGCATGCTCCCCCGTGAAATTTTGGATTTTCAAGCCTTCAAAAAGCGCAATTTCCCGCATTTTGAGTTGCAAGTCATGGTGTTGAGAATGGTTGCCGGTTCTTTCGAAGTTTTCATATTTTTACTCAAGATTTTTGTTAATTTTGTCTGTCAAGGTTGACGGATTGGTTTTTTAAAATTTTCCGTCACACTCCGCAAAGTTCCGGTAATTGACGGAAAACTGGACAGAAGGCGTGAGCCAAGCGCCAAAGGCGGGGCAATTTTGTATTTTAAAACCTTCAATGACGCATTTCCCTTCCTTTTGAGTGGGAAAAATTCACACAACATTGGTACATAGCAAATGCCACGAGAAAAAGGTCACTAGGGTTTAGCACTCCACAGAGCCCTCCATATGTGACAGAAAATCTAAGAAGTTCGTCCAAGGAGCGCTATATATCCAATAGTCATCTTCGACGTCGACGTCATTGAACGAGACAGTCTCGTGCCCATCGCAGCATGGGA